AGTGTGTTTAATGCGTTATGTGATTGTTTTTTTTTTTTTTTCTTGTAGCTGCTACACCAAAACAAATTAGAGAGTTAATGAAGGTTGATGGGCTTACTAATGATGAAGTCAAAAGCCATTTGCAGGTTTGTATGAGTGATTATCCATCTATTTTGAATCATAATTTGGTTGATGTGAATAAAATTTTACACATACGTGATAGAAATTGGAAGCCATTTTGCATGCTATTAGTGATGAATTTTTTTACACATACATGTGATTATCCTCGTTAAATATTCTTTTTTAAACATATGTTTACGTATTAAAAAAAAAGGCACATTTTGAGCTTTTGCACTGCGCACCAAAAAACTCAGGACCGGCCCTGCTTGTGCGGTACAGAAATCGAGATGAGACATAATGGGTAATGTCTAGGCAAATTTCCGCTGTTCTTCAAGAATGTTGATGTTCTTATCTCCCCCTAACGGCAAAAAAACTGTCTCTTTGAAGTGACAATTCGTAAAATGAGCAGTAAAGAGATTGCATGCAAGGGCTCTAAAGAGCTAGTGTGAAGAAGAATCATAATCGACAAAGATTCACATCCTTCTTTGAGGATCCAAATTGGTACATTGCGGTGGCGCAACTTGGTACAGAAAATGCACACCCAAAACGGGTAAGTACAAAACATCAAGTTCATACCCAGTAACCAACTTTAATGCTAAAAATGGTTAGGTGACTATTAGCCTTAAATTAGGCTAACATAGCTACATACAAGATTGCATAGCCCTAGGCAGAAACCGAAAGCTTAATGCGTTCACCAAGGTCCAAGAGATCAATTAAATTGCGCTTTATGATCACTTTGCGAGACTGTTTTTGGTGAACATGGGGAATTCAATTTTTAATTATAAACCCAAAAGACATGCAATACTTACTGAAGCATCATCAGTATAAACTCTCTGGCATTATCTAGTATTCCAGACTTTATAAGATAATCAGGGTGGTGGTCCTTTCAAAATTGGCTATGAGGTTTAGCAACAATGTGTGTAGACAAACATGTGACCATTTTGTCAATACATCAACCAAAACCATAAGTATTTATATGGTCTACATTTTGGTTGGATTGTTCCACAATTATTACCTTGAATCCATTGTGAAAAGAAAGACGTTCCAAATCTTTGCGAGGGATGATATAGAAATCAAATTTCCCAAACGAGCAGGCTTGGCGAAGTGTGCTTGTAGGCACATGATCCTTACCTGAAGTAAGGAGGTGTGTCATGACATCATTGTTCGACCTAAGTGTCCTAAATGATTGTGTCGAAGCAAGTAAACTGCTCGAATCACCAGGCTCCAAGCTGGCTACATGTGGCGCGTCCTAATTGGAAGGTAGCCCATTGGCCCCAAAATATAGCTTCGGGCTTCATACTCTGGATGCGGTGCAAAGATGTTCCACTCTATTTTCTTCAGTGGTTACATTCATGATCATTGTTCTCTCGAATATCCTTAAGACTCAACGACGTTCTTCTGGAACGGGGAGAATATAAGGTCTCTATAATGGTAGTTCAATACCATGCATACAACGAGGAGCGTGCCAATGCTATTAATCAAGTTAAATAGACTTGAAGTCTTAGCTAGAGATGTGATTTAGGTATAAAGTTAGTGTGCGTAGTATCGCATTCATCTAGAACTAACTTACTGACATTTGTACCTAATCATGTGTTAATTGGATTCAATCACATGTTTAAGAAATAGGATTCAATTAACTTATATTCGAGGAATATCCATAACATTATCCATAAACTAAAACAAACACCAAACTTGAATCGAACAACATAGAAAATTGTTCACAAAATAAATGAAAGTTACTAAGGTGGATTCGGGCAATATGGTCATCCATGTCAAAATTCTCTTTACCACATTTGTTAGGTGGAGCAAAATTAGTCTCACATATTGACTACGAGAATGGTACTTCTCAACAACATTGGTAGGAGCACGAAAGAGTGCATACCCAAGGATCTATTCCATCAAAATGAAAGTAGATTCTGCAATGTTGAGTTTCGAAGATATTGTTCATGATTCTTGAAGTTTTAGGTCTTATGTGCCAAAGATCACGCTTCTGGCTATAATGCCACACCTTGGCAGACCCTAATTATACCATATGTTGTAAAAACAAACCCTAGAGTGGGTGAGAGAGAGATAAAAAAAAAACTTGAGTTCGAAAGGTTTTAGTTGAACCATATGAGTCTGTTCGACACATCCTTACCCCAACCCATCCCAGCAAAAATTGCTGGCTGCAGTTCATAGCCTTGCAGCAAGCTGCAAGCTTTTGGGTTTCTCAATGACACATGCTGCACAACAGCCCAGATGGCTACAGATGGCAGCAGGCCGAAAAAAAAAGGGTTGGGGTATGGCCCAACAAGCATTAGGCTTACTGGTCATGCGGGCTGAGGCATGGAAGGGAAAAGCCCAACACTTGGCTAGCTTAAGATCGATGCGCAAGAAGTCCAGCGATGCCCTAACTTCTGGAATGGGTCGTGGGCGTGAAGCCTAGCCCCAAGAACCCAGGCAGTAGACTTGGTCCACTCTGAGCAGTAAGCCCAGATGACTGCTGATGCAAGACTGACGTCATGATCAAGTTGTCCTTGTCCCTGGCTTAAGCTGTAAACCAACCAAGCACGGCTCGTAGGCATGTCAAACAAGTCGTGTTTGTCATGTTTCGTGTAACATATGTTATCTTAATGGGTCGTGTCGTGTCACACCCGTTATATTAACAAGTTCTTAACAGGTCGGGTCACTTTATCTGATAAGTAAAACGACTCGACCCGTTATGACCCGTTAAGAAAAATATTTTTTTTTCTTAAATTTGCACATAACGCATTGCCACATAAATATTACTTCAAAACATAACAACACATTTGTCGTTAAGTACTACATCTACACTCCAAAATAAGAGTCTGATAAAAAAAAAAACCAATACACTAATAGTCTACTACAAAATATCAAATGTGCAAGGATATGCAAAATAAAGCAGTTTTTCTTTTCAAGGTTGTGAAGCCTTTCTCAGAAGTTAAAACCTTACCAATGAAACTTAAAGTTTGCATGTTATTCCTTTTACAAAATCCTTCATTTTTCATCGATTGTCATGGGAAAATTGCATTGGAACTTTGGCTTGATTTATTGCTTTAAGAGTTATGTTGATAATGTTTTCCACATTAGAACTGTCTTTCGCATAAACTAAGTATAGAAAAACCCAACATTATAAACTATTCAAATTATGAGAAGTTTACCAAAATAATTATGAAAAGAAATAAAACAATAGTACTATACAATTTAAAATATATTACCTCATTTTTCAAATTTTCTAAATTTAATTTAATATATATAATTATTATAGTTTTTTAGGAGTTATCAAATTATTAAATTAATATTTTGCTTATCGTGTATCGGGTTACCCACGTGTATACCTGGACCAACTTATTATCTTAACATATTATCAGGTTACTTGTTAACGACCCAATTCGTTATCGTATTGATCCGATAACCTGTTAATTTCGTATCGTTTCGTGTCGGATTAACAAGTTGTGTCAGAAATCACTAGGCCTAACGACTCATTGTTGGTTTGGGCCGACTTGGAGGGTTTAGGGTTTTGAAAACCCTTATTGCTTCTATTTTCTTTCGATTCTTTGATTCATAAATTCTACTTAGCGATTTTATAAATTGCATTATGCATAAACATATATATATATATATATGTATATTGACAAATATATGAACATGTCCAATGTGTATATGTATATATGTGTGTGTGTGTGTGTGTGTGTGTGTGTGTAAATGTAGGGGGTTCATGCATCTTGAAAATTTTTTTCTTGTTTCATGGTTGTTTAAAATATCTTACTTTATTTTTAAAGAACTTGATTGGCAGAAAACAATTCAGCCTTTAAATTTGTAAAGATCCTTCTCGGAAAGCCAGAATTTCATCTCCAATGCCTTGTATCACATCGAACATAGAAAATTTAAATTGAATCAATATAGATCAATTCAATAAAATAATAATGTAATCATAAAAAGAATGATTAAAATGTAACTCCCTTGGAATATGAACAAACTCTTTTTAGCGCAGCGTCAAACGCTTGTTGATAACGTGTTGTGTGCCTAGTTTAACTGAACAATATAAAGGACAGAGAGAGAGCAGGTGCGACAACAATAGAGAGAAGACAAAGATGTGTGATTCTAAGGCGTGTGTTATTTCACTCTATTGTGTCTTTATTTATAATCATAGGGAAGGTAAATTTCTTACTCCGATACGATTACAACTCTAATTGGATAATATTTAGGGTTAGTTCGATATTGTTGTGCTTTTTATAAAAATTGCTTTAGTTGTTATGTAAGAATAAACTGCTATAAAATAAAACAGTTATGGATTTAGTAATTTTTTTTTGTAAAAGTGTTTTTAACAAAACAAGAAAAAAATAGTGCTCAAGTGTTTAATAACTTTTTTATAAAACTGTTGTGATTGTATTAAATGTTTAAAAAAGATATGATGCTAGATATAATATAATTTTTGTATAAATTATTTAATTATTATCTCTCTCTAGAACTGTCTTATCCCCTCATCTTATTTAATTATAACATCTCGCTGAACTCACCTCTCCTTGTTGTTTCCGTCTTCTTCATCTTCTTTATTTTCTCCGTGTTCTTCATCTATCCAAGTTCAGTCAAATTCACAGCTTTCTCTAGTCCGATCAAGATGAAGAGGTTGACGACGACCACATGGATGGGTTTAGGTGGTTTGGGCGTTGCGTGTTTAGGGAAGTGGGTGGGATCTGGGTTAGCAAGTGAACAGTGCTGGAGCACGTGCTGTACAGTAGAGATTTTAGTTTCCTCAAAGATGATAAGGTTGAAGGATGTGAAGAACAAAAAGACCATGAAGATGAGAAACAAGAGGAACAAGAAAGCTAAAATAGATCTGTGCTTCCACTAGATGCAGAGGAGAAGTCTGAAATCCAAGGCTTCGACGAAGTTTTTTCTTATCTCGGTGCAAGATTATTGGCTAGCGAAGTTTCTGATGCAGAGGAGAAATCTAAAATCCAATTGCTCAGACTGGACTATTGAGTTTAATGTTTTGTTGTATTAATTCTGAACTGCTGTAATGGCAGTTGTTTTATATACATCTTACACACACACATGCAATAAACAATCCTTGTAAAAGGTGGCGTCCTAGCTGTTGTAAAGGTGGCGTCCTAGCTGCCCATGTTGCAATGCATCAGAGCACATGATCAGCCTGAAACCATGTGGTAGTCTCCTGACAAAGTTCTCTCAACACTCCCCCTCAAGTTTGGAATGAATGTTGATTATTCCTAACTTGCAAAGCAAAGTCGTAAACTGGTATAAGCTCAGTGGCTTTGTGAAGATGTCGGTTGGTTGTTTCATGGTTGAGATGTGAGATGTCTCGATCATTCCACTTTGAACCCTTTCTCGTACAAGATGGCAGTCAATTTCTATGTGTTTGGTTCTTTCGTGAAAGACCGGATTCGAAGCAATGTGAAGTGCCGCTTGATTATCACAATATAACTTGACTGGACGTTTATGTTTGATACCCAAGTCTTGTAGAACAGATTTCAACCAAGTGACTTCACAACAAGTTGCTGCCATTGAACGATACTCCGCCTCTGCACTAGAATGTGACACAGTATTTTGTTTCTTGCTTTTCCAGGAGATCAAGGATTCTCCAAGAAATACACAGTATCCGGTGGTAGAACGTCGTGTGTCTCGACATCTGGCCCAATCCGCATCACAAAAAGCATTCAATTGAATTGGACTTCTTGCAAAAAGAAAAATACCTTGCCCTGGTGTGTGCTTAATATATCGTAAGACTCGATGGGTTGCCTCCAAGTGTGGAGTTCGAGGCTTCTCCATAAATTGACTAAGAATATGGACAGCATACACCAAATCAGGGCGCGTGATTGTCAGGTAGATTAGTCTCCCAACAAGTCGTCGATAAGAGGAAGGATCAGTAACCCATTGTCCTTCGTCCTTCCTGAGTGATAAGTTTTGCTTCATAGGAGAGGTGGCTGGTTTTGCGCCAAGATGACCTGCATCCTCAAGTATTTCAAGGGCATATTTTCGCTGTGAGAGGGTGATCCCCTTGCTAGAGCGAGCAATTTCAATGCCCAAGAAATATCTTAATTGGCCAAGGTCTTTCAACTTGAATTGCTTAAAAAGAAAAGACTTGGTATCTTCAATTGCTTGTATGTTATTTCCTGCCAAGATAATATCATCAACATAGACAAGGAGGGCAGTGAATTTACCATCATGGTTTCGGACGAACAATGAATAATCTGCCTTGGATTGTTGATAACCGGCCTTTCTAAGAGCACAAGAGAGTTTGATAAACCATTGACGAGAGGCTTGCTTAAGCCCATACAAAGATTTATGAAGTTTACAAACTCGTGTCTCCCCCTTTCGTCCGAAACCAGGAGGCAAGGACACGTAGACATCTTCTTCAAGATCACCATGGAGGAAAGCATTATTAACATCAAGCTGGTGGAGGTGCCATTGTTGGACCGAGGCAACAGCAAGGAGTAGATGAACTGTAGTCAATTTTGCAACCGGAGCAAAGGTCTCTCGATAGTCTAAGCCTTCAATTTGGCTATAACCTTTGGCAACCAAGCGTGCTTTATATCTCTCAATGGATCCATCGGATCAAAATTTGATTTTGTAAACCCATTTACATCCAACCGGCTTCTTGCCAGGGGGCAATGGTTGCAGAGACCATGTCCTATTCGCAGCAAGGGCTGCCAGTTCTTCTTCCATAGCGAAACGCCAGTGAGGGTCGCGTATAGCCTGTGAAAATAAGCTGGGTTCTATGGCAGCTGAAATGGAAGTGGTGAAAGCACGATGTCGAGTAGATAAACGATCGTATGTGAGGACATCAGACAAAGGGTAAGGAGTACCTGGTACTTTGGTCAACGCCGAGTGAGATGAAGGGACGGACCGAGAAGGGAGGTTGATGTCGATGTGATATTGTTGAAGATAACCAGGTGCATGAGTGGGTCGTTTAAGACGAGGTGGTGAGGTGGAAAGAAAATGAGATGAAACCGAAACAGGACTCACCGGCGAAGATGAGGATGGATCGACGGAATCCTGCTCCAGTAGAATGGACGGATGAATGATGGGATCATCATAGGCAGTATCTTGAGTATGTGGAAACACAAGTGGTGAAACTGCAGCAGAAGATGAAAAAGGGAACACATGTTCATGGAAAATAACATCACGGGAGATAAAGATTTTACCCGTGTGAAGGTCGTAAACTCGATATCCCTTTGTGCCATATGGATACCCAAGAAAAAGACACCGTGTGGCTCTTGCATCAAATTTTGTGGGACGATGGTGGTGGGTGGAAGAAAAACATAAGCAACCAAACACTCGCAAATGTGCATACGCTGGCTGTTTGTGGTGAAGTATTTCATAGGGTGATTTGCCTTGAAGAAGAGGAGTGGGAGTCCGATTTATGAGATAAGTGGCAGTGAGGATTGCATCACCCCAAAATTTCTTAGGAAGATGAGATTGAAAAAGTAAGGCTCTAGAAACATTGAGTAAGTGGCGGTGTTTGCGCTCTGCTACCTCGTTTTGTTGGGGAGTAGAGACACAACTTGTTTGATGGAGAATCCCCTTATCTGAAAAAAATTGGGTCATAAAAAATTCTGGACCGTTATCACTACGAAGAACCTTGACTCGTGTGGAAAATTGTGTTTCAACAAGGTGGATGAAAGTGATGAGATAAGATCGTGCATCTGATTTGTGATTCATTAAATAAACCCATGTGCATCTTGAGAAATCATCCACAATAGTTAAGAAATATTGTGCCCCTGTGATAGTGGGAACATGGTAACCTCCCCAAATGTCAACATGAATTAACTCAAAAGGAGCCTTTGTGGTGATAGAACTCAAAGGAAAAGGAGCACGTGTTTGTTTGGCTAATGGACAGATCAAACAATCATCAATGCTACAAAAATTCAAATTTTTAATGCAAGTAGAGAGATGCCGTAAGGTCTTGTTGGAAAGATGGCCAAGGCGTTGATGCCAAAGCTGAGAAGAAGAAGAGGCAACAATTGACGCTGAATTGCACCTAGTTTTTATCACATTATCAAGGTAGTAGAGTCCTTCTCGTTCAGTTCCCGTCCCAATCATCTTCCCCGATCGTTGGCCCTGAAGTAGACACATTTTATCAGTGAAGATGACAAAGCAAGATGAGGTATTAGTGAGTTTGCTGACAGAAATTAAATTTAGTTTAAATGATGGAACACAAAGCACGTTGTGAAGGGTGAGATCATTCGAGAGATGAACTGTGCCAATATGTGTGACATCGGCAAGTGCATGATTGGGTAAGTGCACTTGTCGATTGTATACCGGAACACTTGTGGTCATTAAGCTTGGTGAGCAGACCATGTGGTCTGTGGCGCCTGTATCGAAAATCCAGTCTCTTCTCTTATTGAGAGCATAAGCACAAAAAACTCTACCTGACAAGTTATTCATAGTAGAGGTGGTACCGACATGATTAGATGTGGAGTTGGATTGACTCTTATCAAGGAGTGCAAGCAGATTGTGATATTGCTCGGAAGTGAGGCTGTAGGACGAAGGAGATGTTGCTGGAGGCATTGGCTGGGTATCAACATGATTAGCCTTGGAATTGGAACCCCTGTGATCCTGATAATCTCCCCTATTGCTGTTGTCTTTCCCTTTTTTCAGTTTGCGGCATTGATCAATGGTGTGACATCTACAATTACAGTAATCGCACTTGAGGTGTGCACGACAGGTATCTGAAGTGTGTCCAGTTGCATCACAACGACCACATTTTAGATGGGAATTTCTTGGAGAAAAATTCCTACCAGAGTTTCGCATGTTATCCCGCACGACGAAAGCTACGGTATCGGTGACTGAGGACTTTCCAGGAGCATGCATTGAAACTGTTCTTTGCTTCTCATCTTGAATAATAAGTGAGAAAGCTTTGTTGACAACAGGGAGGGGATCCATAAGTAAAAGTTGCCCACGAACCGCAGCGTAGGATTCATTGAGGCCCATGAGAAACTTCATGGTTTTCTGACTTTGCTGAAACTGCATTAATTCTTTTGCAGCTCCACATGTACAGGTTGGAAGAGTGCACATGGCATCACGTTCATCCCAAAAGCTTTTTAGTTTGGTATAATATGCACCAATGTTCAAATTTCCTTGAACGCTTCCATGTATCTCTTGTTCAATATGGAAGAGATGCACACTGTTTGTGTGAGAGAAACGTTCCTTCAACTCATTCCAAATATCAGCTGCAACATTGTTGTAGATGACACTTGCTCCGATATCTTTCGAGATAGAGTTAAGCAGCCAGGATTTCACGAGGTTGTTGCAACGAGTCCACTATTGGAATTCACTTGTGGATGCAGACTCGGGCCTTTTAATGGATCCATTGATGAATCCTTCCTTGTTCTTGGCATTGAAGGCCATGGCCATGGCTCGGCTCCAAGTGGAGTAATTTTCGTCATTCAAAAGGTGTGTGACGAGGATCGCTCCAGGCTGATCAGAGTGATGAAGATAAAGAGGATCGCTGGGATCTTCGTATTTGGTGTGTTTGCTGGAAGAGTCAGTTGCCATGTCGGCAGGCAGTGTGCAGTGGCTGTGCTTGGCTGTGCTCTGCGGCTGTGCTTCATGGCTGTGACAGGTAGAGCAGCGACGATGGCTGTGTAGCAGCTTTGGACGGCAAGGCAGCGAGTGTGCAGCTTGCAGTGCACTGGTTGCTGCAGTAACAGATGTCGCTGTTCACAGTATAGCAGCGGAAGAGTGAAGGCAGAGCAGAGCAAAGGATTGCCTAAGCTCTGATACCATATTGAGTTTAATGTTTTGTTGTATTAATTCTGAACTGCTGTAATGGCAGTTGTTTTATATACATCTTACACACACGCATGCAATAAACAATCCTTGTAAAAGGTGGCGTCCTAGCTGTTGTAAAGGTGGCGTCCTAGCTGCCCATGTTGCAATGCATCAGAGCACATGATCAGCCTGAAACCATGTGGTAGTCTCTTGACAAACCATGTGGTAGTCTCCTGACAAAGTTCTCTCAACATGGACAACGACGGTGGAGAGCAGAGCTGAGAGGAAAGAGGAAGAGGTTAGGATTGCCATTTTTGAAAAATTCATTTAATGGCACTGTTAAAAAAAAAAGTTGGTTTTTCAAAGTTGGGTTTTACGTGTGTTTTATTTTTTTTTTATTTTTTTATTATTTTCTCTTAACCTAGAACTGGGAAAAGAAAAAAAAATGGAGTTGAATCTTTACTAAATAGTCTAAGAGATATGGTATAATCTGATAAGAAAATCTAAAATAACATAAGGTTTATATAATCACATTTCTAAATGGAACTGTTATTAGCATTTTACAAATCTCATTTTACATTCTTTACAAATTTATTTTTCTTTTTAATTATACAAAGTTTGGAACGCAAAATAAGATTTTTGAAGTACCAATAACAATTTCCTTCTTAAAAATTGCAACATATTTTAAATTTTCCACACCATGATTGTAGTTTTAGTACTGAATAAAAAAGAATTTTAAGATGTTAATGTTCAGTAAATTAGAATGAAGTTTTTCATTTAATTATGTAATGAAATAATATACGTACTTAATAGTTGAACGTTGTGTCGGGTAACATGTTAATTTAACAGGTCGAATTTGTGTTTGAATGTTTCAACCCGTTAGCTTAGTGGGTTAACATAATACGATTCGTTAAGATAATAAGTTGACATTAACATGTCAAACACGATCCGTTTATAAAATCTAAATATGTAAGTTCTTTCCTCGAGAAAGTCATCTTTTTTACCACGTGAGCATATTGTGGCGATTCACACAGAATTCCTCATCTATGAGAGCTATCCGAATCAATCATGCAACTTGGTTCGTGTTGTTTCCAAATTTCTTGAATTCGAAGACAACGGTCAATTCCTGTAAATTACTTGTACGAAATTGTAACACATATCTTGAGAACTACTGAAAGACCCCAAGCCTTGGTGACATTCCACCAACCGGGCCCATGGTCTCGAGATCCTAGCACCCAACCCGAGAGGCTTGCACCCAGGGCAGACCACGAGGCACCAACCCTAGAACCAAATCGCGTTATCCTAGCGCCCACCCACATGGCAAAATATACTCACCAAATAAGTGACATATTAGTTTAATTGTGGCGAGGTTTCTAAATTTTATCCAAGTGACATATTAGTTTAATTGTAGCAAGGTTTCTAAATTTTATCCTTAGTTTAAGGGAAGTGTTATTAGTAATTCAAAAATCTCATTCTACACTTCTCACAAGTGTATTTTTTTTTTTTTCAAATATAGAAAGTTTGGAGTGTAGAATGAGATTTTTAGAGTGTCAATAACAATTCCCTAGTTTAATATTAGTTTCTGAACTCTCATATTAATTTCTTTAGTTCTCGAACTTACAAATGTGTTACATTATTGATCATTTTCATTAACGCTATCTTTTCTTTTTTCTGTTAAATTTAGGAGTACATAAGAACTTCAACTTAAAACATCAAAACAATAGAAGAAGCTAAAAAATAAATGAAAATTTATAAATTAATATCTAAACTTAAAACAAAATGAAATTTGAACTATTAAAATACAAATAGCAATTGGTTGGACTTTAGCAACTTACAAATATTAGGCAATGCGACTTCAAAGTTGGTAGTAGATCGAACTGTGGCTGAACTTAAACAACTAACAAATCATTTATTGAACTACAAAAAAAGAAATCCTATGTATTCAATTTTCTTACACAAAAAAAGTCTAATTTTTTTCATTTCTCATTTTTAAATTTATTTTTAGTATTGTGAGATGAAGTTCCTAATATACTCTTAAATTTAACGGAAAATAAACGACGCTAATGAAAAAGATTAAAGGTACAAACACATTGTAAAGTTCAAGAACTAAATAAACTAATACGAAAGTTCAGAGGCAAATTAAACTACCGATAGAGTTTAAAGAACATCGTTACAATTAAGCCTTAAAAAAATTTTATGTGGTGGTGAAAAAACTGGTACAATATAATTAAACTTAAGATTTCTTGCATACAAATGAAAAGATATACCATTAGACCATAATATTAAGTAACGTTCCAAACACAGCCTTAAGATTACCATTTTTTACGACACAATTGGTCCCCTTTTCAGTGCATAAAATATGTTCCACGGAACGGGGCTACTTTGACATGTTGGAAGGCGTAACACGTGAGGTCATCAAATTCAAGACATCTTCTCCTGCAGATGAGTTTGATAGCACGAAATCACATAGCATGGTTGTTTTCAACTTTAAAAAACAGATGAACACTCACACAAACCCATTCCCACAGAGAGATCTACTCACTTCATACTGTATGCATACATAAACAAACCATACTTCAGTCACATCACTCGTTCGTGTCACAAACCAGTAGATGGATCGAAGATTTTTGTCACACAATTCCCAGATTGGCTAAGTAAATGGATGTTGTTGAGTTTCAACGTGCAAGTTTAATAGCTTTTACCACCTACCAAAAATATAATTAGAGTACAACAGATCACCAACCGCTCCAAGTTTGCTTTCGGATATTGAGTAAAGTTGTGGATGAGTTTCTAAGTCTCGAAACCAGCACCGGAAATGTTCTTTGAACGAAAAAGTTCACTCAAGAAGTCCATTGGTGAACCAGGAGACCCAGCACCGACTGTCGAAGCCATTAACTAAAGATAGCCATTCCAGACATTATATTGTGAAAGAGAGAGAGAGAGAGAGAGAGAGAGAGAGAGAGAGAGAGAGAGAGAGAGAGAGAGAGAGAGAGAGAGATTTCATAATCACCTGATGAGGAAGGAGGAAGGGACCCCATGCTGAGCTGCTTCCTGTGTACATTACTGGTCTTTCTGAAACATAAAAAATATAGAATAAACCATCCAAATTGCAAGAATCACTCACAATACGATTACTAAATGATGCATGCTTAACTGAGGTTCGTTTCAAGACCCCTCCTTGACTCCTTTATTCCTTCCCACTCCTTAACAATTCATTATCTAGCCCTTTTATTTTTATATTTTTTCTTATCAGAAATCAGATTTCTCCTTTCTATCATTGCCAGGAAGGTTCTCCATATTCCTCCAACCCATTGCCCCTTTTGCTTTTCATAGAATTAAATCATTTCATATAACCATCAGCTTTACTCTTAGAGAAATCAGATTTCTCCATTCTATCATTGCCAGGAAGGTTCTCCATATTCCTCCAACCCATTGCCCCTTCTGCTTTTCATAGAATTAAATCATTTCATATAACCATCAGCTTTACTCTTAGAAAATTGCAGAAAAACTCCATTTTGTTAAATATTCTTTGCACTCCCTTCCCTTTAGCTGATCAATCAAATCCGATGGAAAGTCCTCAGCCTACTCCTCTATGTGATTAGGACGAAGTTGGCAGAGGATGGATCACCTGTAAAACGGGTAATTCTCACATTAATATTTTCAAGTATCAGGAAATTTCAACCTTCATACCAAAAATTTTATTCGTCCGACTTTCATACATAAAATTTGAATTTTGTGACACTTTCATACTTCCATTAGCCTTTCTATCAGGAGCTCGGTTAATTGATAATGTGGCAAGCCACTGGACAATGACTGCAAAAAAGTGGGTGCGCCCCACTGGCATTTTTTTTATTTTTGGAAACAAAAAAAAATTAAACCCAAATTGTCTTCAAACTTGGACTGTGGAAACCGACGAGGAAAACCCAAATCATCTACGTCGCCAGAACCCAGAACCCACATAGAAGGCCAGCTCAAAACCCAAAACCCACATCCTCCACTTTACCAACTCACCAAGTCAAACCCCAACCACCCTTCCAAATCCCTGCAAATTCAGATCATGGAAATTCGAGGAAAGTCGCTCACCGAGTCTGTGGAAGCCTTAATCATGGAAATTCGGATCTTTTATGTGACTTGGAGAAGCCCATTGGGGAGAAGAATGTTGAGGAGCTAAGAGTGGCAATGGACAGTGTGTTTGTATCTGGGTTTTAGGGCGATCCAGTTGAAGAAGCAGAGGGCGGTTTGGGGTCAAGGTTAGAGTGAAGACAGAGGAGAAATGGGAAGGGGATATGGAGGGGCTAGTTGTTTGAGGGAAGGGTGGCACTGCCAATTGGGACAGCAGAGAATGGTGAAGAGCTGAGAGGAGAGATGGTGCGGTTCAGTGGAGAGGGGAAGAGGAGCGGCGGCAGCAGAGGAAATGGAAATAAGGGTTTTGAGGAGGAGGAAGAGGAAGGGTTCACGTGGGTGGCAGATAACGGCCATGGGTTTTCTCATCATCTTCTTCGGGCATTGGAGGAGGACCTGACCCAATTCACTTCATGGTATATGGATCAGGTGTTTGAGTTGTAAAGTGGGAGGAGGAGGAGGAGGAGGAAGAAGAAGAAATGGTGTTTGAGTTGTACAGTGGGAGGAAGAAGAGGACCCGACCCAATTCACTTTGTAGTATACGGACCAAGAAATAGTCTTTGAGTAGTGCAGTGGGAGGAGGAGGGAGTGGGAGGACCTAACTCGCTTCATGGTATATGGACCAAGAAATGGTGTTTGAGTTGTAGAGGAGGAGGAGGAGGGAGAAGGAGGACCCAATTCACTTCATGGTACAAGAACCAAGAAACGGTGTTTGAGTTGTAGAGTGGGATGAGGGAAGAGGAGGAGGAACTTCCTCCTTCTTCTCCTTATCCTCAGAAGAAGAGGACGTGCCCAAAGTGCCATGTTGTAGAGTGGGACAAAAAAAAAAAAAAATTTATTTTTATTTGTTTTATATGTCCACGTGGGGCCCACAGTGCGACGTTCTGCACAATCATCGTTAAGTGGCGTGCCACGTCATCAGTTAATTGAGCCCCTGACAGAAAGGCTAACGGAAGTATGAAAGTGTAACAACACTCAAACTTGAGGAATGAAAGTGGGACAAAAAAACCTTTAGGTATGAAAGTTGGAATTTCACGATACTTAAGGATAGTAATATGAGAATTACTCTAATAAAAAAACTCTTGTAGTCAACCTATTGCTCCATCCAAACACTGTTAAAGCTTGTACTCTGAACCACCAAACAATTAATTACTCTGAGCCATCTTTAATATACAATGCTGATATATTTCCTCCATTTATAGCAAAATTTTGCATAAGAAGTATTTTGTGTGATTGAATGAACTATACCATACATGCATCAATTTGGACATCTTAATGCATGTCTTTACTTTCATGTAGAGTATGCACCAAATTTTGAAAATAAGGAACATTCTTCCACTGACCTGGTAGATCTACAGATGGATCGTTGAAGCAACGCATTGCAGCTGCCCAACCTGCATTTGAAGACATGCAATTATTAACCAATTCAAGCCTCATACAAGTAATCACTGAAAAAGAAAAAAACAAAAATACACCCCTTTAGTCTTTTAGTTAATCATGCACAAAGTCCCAGCAAACTTTTATGCATAAATAATTTTAATCCAAGCTCCAAAGAAAATACTCTTAGGTCAACTAATGGTTGGTAATCTTTACTTTCTTTGTAACTTTCTAAAAAGTCAAAAGAACCGTGGGTGGGGGTCAGGGGCTTGCAACATTATTTTCACTTTGAACTTTTTGTGAATGACAATTGGAGAAAGGAATCACCTGCAAGAATTTAAATGTACAACCTAAACCTATTTTGTATAAAAATACTAACAATATGAAAGGAGGATGTCAATGTGGGCATCATAACCTATTTTCTAATGCATGTTACTTTCAATCATCAAGTTGAAATATCACGGATCACCTCAGGACCCTTGCTGATATCATTTGCACAAAATTGTATGGCAGAGCATAAATAGGCTGATGAAAAAAGAGCCAAAACAAAGTAATTCCTGTATTAACATATAGCAATTCCTTTTCAAGAAACTGTTGACACATACGACTATGTAAGAGCTGGAAAGCTTCACTTGTGCAACACCCCTCTAAAGCTACTAACCCCCGAGAGTTCTCATTCAGAAGACTGCTGCTGCTTCCATCCCCATGATCCATAACAGAAATATTTCTTGAACTAGAAATTTGACTCTTCTCCAGATCACTCCCACCATGAGGATTGTTAGTTCGATCCAACCGATCTGAAACAGTAACTTATAACCACATTAGATATGTAACCCTAAAAATGTCACAATTTCCTCGACTACTCAACTTCTGGTAAACAAAAGAATAAAAAGATATGTACAAATAAGTCAAAAGAAACAGCCAACAACAGCCTTTGGGACTAAAGACAGCTCCTCCTACTTAAGAACAAGGGTTGAGACACACCTTAGTACCTATTTGTAAAAATACCAAACTGTGGAATTACAGTAGAAAAAAAAATTGATAGGTCTCACTATAGGAAAACGTGAAATGATAAACATTAAGTAATAGTTGAAACTACTTAAACAATAAATGGAACATTGTAAAAATAAAATAGAATACCCTAGATTTGAGAGATGGTACACTTTGTTATAACAAATTATTTGAGATATATGTACTGACATAAAAAATAGAACTGACAGATACTAATGATTTCCTGATAAAATTAGCATTAGAATAAGGATTAAAACTAATTCATGTTGTTGCTGTTTGTATCAGTGCTAAATGCTGAAAGAAATAATGAAAATATACATGACTTCTGATGGTTCCCAATGACATAGACATTCTTAAGAAGCATGAAGAATGCATAAGAATCAAAGGATTAAATAATTATCGAGCTATAACAAAGAATAAACGCAGTGCAAATTCACCAAAGACACTTAACATAACAATAACCAACAACTCAGGAGCAAAGGAACTCTGAACAAATCGCTTGTGAAGTGATTTCAGGATCTGTAATGCAAAATTATGAAATAAGTAGAATGTAAAGAGGATGGAAGAAGAAAATCTTGTAAGTATTATGTGTGATAAAATCCATAATGGACTAACCAGGATTATATAGTATTCGTTTAACTATTCTCCAAGGGATGAATGTTAGGCTTTAAGAGCATGAGCAACAAATATTGAATGTTAAGATGGATGGTAAGAGTGATTAGAAGAAACAAGATGATAAACATTATCAGCAACAAATATTAATGACAGATTTACACAACTAAGCTTAGAAAGTTAGTACATAAACCAAATTAAGGAAATTAATATAAGAGGTACTTGATTAAGAATCTGATGAAGACTCACACATGATGAAGTAATATGTAAGGATCTAAAAGATATAAGATTTAATGGAAATTTGGTATATTAATCAGTGTTTTAAAAGGCCAAGGCGAAGCCAAGGGATTTAATGGATAGCCTTGCCTAGGCGATAGAAGTGAGGCAAATGCCTCACGGTACCTAAGATTATTATAGTCCTCAATAAAAGTATGATATAATACTTTTTCTAAAACAAATATTCATTGTCATTCAAGGCTTGTTTTATCCATTGGGCGTTGTAATGTTTTAAAAAAACATTTTACAATTATTTAAATATTTAATAATATAAGAAAAATGAGAAAAGGAAAGGAAAAAGGAAAATCTGATGAGTCTATGCAAGTCAGGTTCACTGCAGTTCTAACTGTCTATACTTCAATTTCCGTCATAGAGAATTGAGGCTGAGAAGATTTTAAAACCTTGCACCAACCTTATGCCGCCTAGTCTGGCTGGGCAGAGGCCTTTTTTAGATATCCCCACCCAAGAAAGCGCCTAGGCGAGTATCAAAACTAGTTTTTTAAACCATTTATTGAGCAAATGATTCATTTCAATACCTTAAAGATAAGTTACACAACTATTTATAGTTACACATTAGGAAAGCCAAACGTTACTAAGAAAATTTAAAATTACAGTAGTAACTTTCTATCTAACTTGACTCTTTTGAATTAATAACACATCTATGGACTTTATTATCCTCTTCACACCCCCTCAAGCTAAATGGAGAAGGCTGAAGAGAAAGCTTAGATCGAAGTTGGAGAAACCCTTGCCAAGGAAGAGATTTAGTGTGAATGCCTGCTAGTTGATCCTGACAGCATACAAATTGAACAGTAAGAAGCTTTGCCAAAACCAGCTCTTGGATGTAATGATAATCTATTTCCACATGTTTGGTTCTAGCATGAAAGACAAGATTGGAAGCCAAAGCAATAGCTGAGATGTTGTCAACCAAATCTGAGGCAATGCAGGTAGTTTAAAGCTAATATCAGTGAACAGTTGACAAATCTAAGTGATTTCAGCAGCAGTATGGGCTAATGATCTGTACAAAGCTTCTGTGGATGAACGAGCAACTGTATGTTGCTTCTTTGCACTCCAACTTATCATGGATAGATTGAACTGCCAAAGTAAGTAAGATCCTTATAATAACTGGTTTGGCCACTGGGTTAAATGTGTCACTGAAATCAATACCTTCCTCTTGATTGTAGCCCTTAGCTACTAATCTGGCATTATAATCGTCCACAGAACCATCTGGTTTCTTCTTAATTCTAAAAACATGTTCATATCCAGCAAGGTTTTGAGAAGAGGAGGAAGTAGGGTCCAAGTTCCTGTATTTAGCAAGGCATTAAACTCATCTTGCATGGCTACCCTCCAATGAGGATACTTGGAGGCTTGCAGGTAAGTGGAAGGAACATATTCAGTGTGTAGATGAGAAGGCAGGGGATGTTTAGTTGCAGTGTAGGCTTTGGGTTTGAAAATGCCAGATTTAGACCTAGTTTGCATAGGATGGGTAGAAGTGACAAGTTGTGATGGAGGTAAAGGTGTAGTAGGTTCTGGTTGAGATACAGATGCAGGAGAAGGGTCTACTGGAGGATTAATGGCAGATTCAGGTGTGGTGGAATGTGATGATGATTGAGGTAAAGAGGCAGGGAGGGTTGAGTTGAGAAGTGGTGTTTGGAGGTAGGATATAGGTGAGGAAAGGTGAGGGAGAAGGAAGAAGAATTGGATGTTGGGATAGATGGTGATAATTTCAAAAGGGTAGTACTATGGAAAGGAAAAGAGTCTTCATCAAAGTAAACATGTCTAGAGATGTAAACTCTGTTAGTAAGAGGATCTAGACATCTATATCCTTTGTGGGTTAACCTATAGCCAGTAAACACACATTGCGTACTCTTGGCTTCTAGTTTGGAATTGGTATAAGGTTTTAACCAGGGATAGCAACTGCAACCAAACACTCAAAGTTGACTGTAACCTTGTGATTTCTTAAAAAATTGTTCCCATGGTGATGGTTTAGAAAGAGGGGGTAGTTTGTTGATGAGATAGACTGCAGTAAGGAAGGCTTCTACCCAGAAGTGATGTGGTACTTTGGAAGCTATTAACAGAGTCCTTGCAGTTTCTACAACATGTTTGTGCTTCCTTTCAGCACAACCATTTTGTTGTGGGGTGTAAGGACAGCCAAGATGTTGTTGAATGTCATGAAGGGCAAGATGCTACTTAAAATTAGAACTAAGAAATTCACCCCTTGAATCCGATCTTAAAGTACCAATTTTGTTACCAAACAGATTCTCAACAAGAGCTTGGAATTGAAAAAATGTAGCAAAAACATCCGATTTATTCTTGAGAGGATACAACCAAGTGTACTTAGTAAAATCATCAAGTATTTATAGTTACACTTTAGGACAGCCAAAAGTTTCGTAGGAAAAGTAAAAGAATATTTACAGTAGTAACTTTCTAACTTTTGACTCTTTTGATTTACTAAGACATCTATTGACTTTATTATCCTCTTCGACACTGATATTAATAAAGCCTCAAAATGCCATAAAACTCGTCACCTTCATCTCCATTGAAAATTAGGGTCCATTTGATAACCATTTCATTTTTACCGTTCACATGAAGAAAAAAAAAGAAGTGAAAATGAAACATGAAAACTTGTTTGGCAATTAACTTCATTTTTTTTTTCACTTTTAAAGCAAACCAAATTATGAGAACTAAAATCAATTTCAGATGCTAGCTTTCGTTTTTATTTAGTTGATTTTTTTTGCACCTCCTTTCTCATTCACCAATATTACATCACAAAAAATGCATTGCATTTTATTTCCAAAACCCGGTATATGTGACCTCCCAACTTGGACCCAGGCGCTCCACTCTGCATTGGGCTGCAGATTAGCCTGAGCCCCGGGACCCTGGGACATGGTACCAACCCAAAATTCACAAATAAGGAAATTTCATTCCCAAAATTCACAAACAAGGAAATTTTCATTTCCAATTCCACATAAAAGAGCATGTCGCTTTATCGTGGAGGACAGCAATCATGCTGATTCTCCTTCCTTAACAACTAACTAATTAACCCACTAACAATATCACTCTACTAAAAAAATAAAATGTAAAACCACAAACAGTTACCAAACAAACTTTAGTTTTATTTTTATTTGAAAACAGAAATCAATTACATGTTTGCAGTTTTTAAAAAAATTTACTAGAAATTGAAAACTAAATGAACGGTTGATGACCATTTCGGCTTAAGTTTTTGTTTGGTATCGATAGCTTTCAGTTTTCAGTCTTCAAAAACTGAAATGGTTATCAATCGGACCCTCAGATAATGTAGCGTAAAAGAGATTAAGATACATGGGGAAAAGGTGAAGTTACCTGCGGATTTGCGTCTGTTAAGAGGACGATTCCTGAAATGAATCAAATGAAATGCAAACAATTAACTAGTTTTCAATTAACTACTGAATTAATTTGATTTTAATAATATTGTTTTAAAGAAAAAAGGAACCACACCCACATGGAAGAACGAAACGAATACCTCTGATTGGGAGGAGCATAGCGCTTCACGACCGCCCCTGGATCTGCTGCGGCTGCTGCCGCTGATGGAGGATTTTCCAGCATCCGTGGGTCAGTGTGATGACTATCACCCACACCCACCAAAAGACACAAGAACTCAGAAGCTCGAACTCCTCAGCAATGAGAGATGGGATATTGGTTGTGTGTATGTTGGGAATTTTGTAAAATACCCCCTTTTTAGAACAAATGAACTTTTGCCCTTGTTTTCAGATTGAGATAATTGTAGCATGATACCTCAACTTTAGCTTAATTGGAATTTTGATCCCAAGCTAAAAATTAGTGAGCATCCATCTTAGAACTTATGATAGTGTGAATCCGTAGTCTCTTTGGATAATTCCGTTACAATTTCTAGTCATTTTTTGTCCATTTAAATCTTTTTGTTTTGAATGAAAGTTCTAACGTGATTGGCGAAAGTGATTAATGATCCATATTATAACAAGTTCATAGATAATACTCATCAATTTTTAATTTCAAGGACTAAAACTCCAATTCAGCCAAAGTTCAAGAACTATTGCTTTAATTTTCTTTTTCAAAATTTACAGAAGAATGTTGCTAAACTAACCTAATTATACTATTTTCTCCCTCTCTTTTTAATAAAAATATTAATAACATATTTATCCTTTCATAAAAAAATAACTTTTTAATCCTCATTTAATTAACTACTGAAACATTGAAAGAAATTGTTTAAAAATAATAAATAAATAAATGAAAAAAAGGAGCTTTATATATAGAGATCAAAACTTTTACTATATTGCAAGAAACTCCACTAGTTTTTAAACATGTCAATGAGACATAATAATATAAAAGCAATTCAAGCCCAGCTCAAAAATATGAAAACAATGTTTTAAAATATTAGCCATACTACTAGGGTGCGTTTGTTCTACCGGACTAACTCGGACTTGACTAACTTTAGAAACTAAGCTAAATTGGCTTAGACTAGACTAAGCTGGACTGACTTCGTGAAGTGTTTGATGCAATGTCAGACTAGAAAACGAGACTAACAATAAATTATTATTATTATTATTATTATTTTATTATTATATTTTAATTTATTTCCTATTAAAAATATCAACATTAATATGGAAAAATGGGGCATCTTCTTCGTAAATTGCTAGTGCTCTTCTGCACACAGAATTTCCATTCACATAATCCAATAATCATTCAATGATCAGAACTAACTGGTATCCCAAAAAACTCACAAATCCAGGCCTACCTTCACAAACCAAACGCAAACAATTCACAGAATACATCAAATATTCTAAAATTTAAAGAACAGAACAAATAAGGTAATAAATAAATAAATAAAATAAGAAGATGAAGAACACAAAGCACCCAACCCAGAGCCCAATCAACTTCTGCAAACCTTCCATAGTTGTAATCCTTCGTATGGAAAATTAAATCCCAGAAAAATCAAATCCTTCAAGCTCACTTGTATCTGCAGGACCAAAAATTCGATTTGAAAACCTTAAATCGCCAAAGTTCTGTCGAATTGGAAACGGAGCTCGTGGGTTCTCCGATTGAAGATCGAATTTGAGGTCCCATTCGTGATTGTGGGTTGGGGCGATGAGAGAGAGATTGGTGGTGGTTAGTGAAGGAAAATTTGTGAAAAACATGTTCATTTAAGCAACATCAATAGCATGCAATTAATAATTAAAGGCGGAATCATGCTTGTATGCACTTAAAACAAAACATTTACCCATGAAATTCAAAGCCTAGTAGATAGGTGAACCAAGACTCAACTCAAAACAAAGTGAGTTGAGAAATCAATACCTTTGTAGATTCCTTTTTGCATAAGCAAAGGCTAATCACCCAAAGAGAGGGCCTTCATTCCTTGCATCTTGGATCCATGGATTTGGATGGATGAAAAGGTTTCTCCAAGTTCCCAAAATTGAGAACCTCTAAGTCTCCACACCAAGGTATATTGTAGAAGAAATGAGTGACCTAGAGGAAGTAAGATTGCTAGCTATTCCCCTCTAGATTGGCCAAAATTTTTGAGAGAAATGAGAGCTTGTGTTCTCATCCTTTCCCCAAAAATAACCCTTAGTAAATTTTAGGCTATAAAGTCCTTTATATAGTCCCTTCAAATAAGTGACCTAATGGACCAAAAGCCCTATTCTTTTACACATGGCTAGCCTATAGGTTTATTGGGCTTTCAAGCCCTTTGTTTTATTCAAGTTGTCATACAACTTGAGTTAATGGGCTTGACATTCAAATCCCATTGGACCTTGCGGCCCAAAACTAACCCGAGGTCTTTTAACGAACTTATTCGTTTGATTAATTAACATATTAATTAATCCTAGCCTTAGATAAATAATTAAACCATTTAATTATTCTTACTCATCTCCGTTGAATCTTCAATCTCTACCTTACACGATGTACGATCCATTAGGTTCCTTTTAGCGAGGCAGTGGGCGATTCAAACTCTTTCAAATCGATTGTGAATTGAAACTTACTTTCAATTCTCCCGTTAGTGATAATACACTTTTAGGGCTTCCACAAACCATGAGTGACACCTAGCAGCATATCATGGTTACCCAAGCTAATCAGAAGAGGTGGAGAACCTATTCAGTTTAGGATTACAAATGCAATACGGTCTTTCTCTAATACAATACTCTTGACCACATTGTTTGGTTTGATAGTTTATTCATGTCTACTATCCAATGTGAATCTTGTACTTATATGATTACCTTGAATGTGATCTGGAACGCATTCTAACATCTCATTCATACTCTGGCCAGAGATTCTAAATCATATCATAGAGTATTCTCCCTCAAACAGTTTGAAGGTTAGAGATCCCTTGTTGCGCATTCACTTGCCTCCATGGCTAAGTGGCTTAACCCCGACGATGCCGTGGACACCCTGATAGAGTGACTTTGACATAATCAAAGATTAAGGACCTAACCACAAGACAACTGTGATGCCTCAGGTCAAAAGACTAATTTGCATTATCCCAACCATGAGTTCTCATGTGACATGAATATGAGAACTCTTCGTTGATCGTGTTCAGTGAACTCATTCTCTATTGAGCACCTACGTACTTGTCTTGATGTCACACACACCAATGACTCGAGACTAGTCACTCTCCCTGAGAGAAGACATAGCACGTACTGATCTTAACGGACTGTTAATGCCCAATTGACAATCCTATGATCAGGAACGTTTAGGATGTGTCAACGAAAGAATGGTCTCATGAATCTAACTTCTTTAGATCGCATTCTTCCAATCACATATTCCTTGGACTTATCGTTTAAGCATATAACATTTATATGAGACGGCTCAAACAATAATGTTTGCCCTTTAAACTACATTAGTTTGAAATGTCCGTAAAGTATCATCATATGATTGGTTTTAGGGCACATTTCCAACAATCTCCCACTTGCACTAGAGCCAATCAGCTTGTTCATCAGTGATGATACCTCTTCTGTAATTCATTTCATAAATGGCTGAGTAGTAGGCCTAAACAATGGATATCTATATGTTATCCATAGAAGCAACCTTGAGAATAACGACGTCACCATTATACATGATTCTCAATCATGTGGTTCAGTCTCTCATTTGAGTTCGGACCTTGATGAGACATTGATTCCCTGGCTTGAGCTATCGCCCCATTAGTGTCATACACTTTCTGGTTGGAACCGAATGAAGAGTTCATGAATGAACTTTCCCATCCAAACAACAATGTTGTAAGCTTCTATATGGCAATATATTTTGCATACATGATGGAACACATTAAAGTCATTTACTTTTAACGTTTCCACCCAAATATCTCTTTAGTCATAATAAAGAGATATCTCATTATCACTTCATTCATAATGAAGAGATATTCTATGATGGATTAGATTCATAATCTAATACATTTACGCTTCCATTACGTTACTCTAATTCTTCCTCATTCTTGAGGAATCCATCCTTAGTATTTCTTAAATACCTAAGGATTCTCTTGACAGTTGCCATGGTTCTGATCCTGGGCTTGCACTGATATCATCTTGTACCGTTCTAGGTATGACTTATATCAATGTTTTCATACAATATGAAATACATAAATCACCTTTCTGCGTATGCGTAAAGGATTCTATTTACGCATTATTTCTTTGGGAGTCAAAGGGTACATTCCCTTTGAGAAGAACAACTTCCTAGTCTCACTAGAATTGTCATTCTAATTGAAGTTTATCATCATATGAGAAACTTCCTAGCATCTCATTGTCTATTTTAGGGATTGATATAATCCAATTATATCTTGAAATCTATCATTATAGATTTCCATCCCATGTATATAGACTATGTCTCCCATATACATTCTATCATTATAGAATGTTTAAAGTCATAACTTTAACGATGAAGAATTCCTTTCATTTTCAAAATTAATATATATCATGTATATATATTCTAATTTAGGAATATGATCAACTCCCACTAATCTTTTGTAAACCTAGTAAACAAAAGATTCATTTACATCTTTATGAGAAATCAAACAATTGATCTTTTCTCATAAGACGCTTATAGCTCCCACTAGTTTGCTAAGATCCATGATGGATGGATCTCTACAACTAACATGTCTTAGAAGTATATATCATATATATATGGGTAATTGATAATGTCCAACAAACTAAATCTTATTTATGTTCATTCTTCTCCTAATGGAGAAATTCATTATCTTACGATGCTACTTTCCTTGATATTTTTCAAGGAAATTAATCTAAAGTGTTACTTTTTCCTTGGATCAAATCTAAGGAGGTAAATACTTTAGACGTCTTACTCATCTACTTACATTTCTTGAATTCTTTGAAACCTTTTGCAAAGTATTCGGACTTGTGTTTATTCAAAATAAACTATAGTCCAACCGAGAGTGATCTTCAGTGAATGTCATACAACATGAGTAGTATTATGTTGTGGACAAGTGCCACTAACATCTAAGTGAATTAACCTCAACAACTTTGTGATTCTTTCTTCTTTCCAAAAGAATAAAGATTCGAACATTTCGCCTCTATACAATTTTAACAAGAAGGTATTGGATCCGGATCTAACGATCCAAAGCATCCATCTATGACCAACTCGTAACTTATGTTTTAGAGGTGTCACAACTCAGTTGAGATTAGTCACTCCCCTGCAATCTTTTGGGTTTTAAGCATCATCGTATTCTAAACAGTTAAAC